GTATACTTCCTAAATATTTGGGCCGGGTATCGATTAAGAAATTTTAACCCAGTTAATTTGTCACAAATTTTCAGGCATAATATCTTGAAAAGAATGAAACTGCAGATGTTCCAAACTGGCTGAGGTAAAGCAGCCTTGCAGTGCACCAAGGTTTACATTGAACATACTTTTGTGTATTGTCCACGAGGTGTGGCTCGTGCATTGAAGTTTTATGAGTTAGTTTCTTCAATGTTTGAACTTTCAGCGTGCCAGCTGGGTAGTGTGTAACTTTTTTTTTTTTAATAGCGCAAGAAATTTTTTAATCCTGGCGGCAGGAAGATTCGGCTAGCAGTTGACATGGTTGGACAACGGTGTGCATGCTTGCTTTCTCTGAAGCGGCCAATGAAGCGAAATAACAGCATGTGCGGGTTGTCCATGCATTTAATTTTTTGTTTGTTGTTTGTTTCAGACTACATGTGCTCCCAGTACAAGGGGGTGGCCCTCCAGGCTCTGACGACCAGCATGTTGTCTCTGCTATGCGTTCGACGGAAATTTAAAGGGTAAATATTGCAGCTGCAGTTTTTTCTATTCTTACCCTGCTACACTTCCTGCAAATTTCTGTGCATACTTGGTCTTTTTGTTTTCATTGTACTGTAAACTTTTGTTATAGTCCGTTGCAACTATAGAATAGCACAAGCCCCTCCCACAATTCCCTTTGCTCGCCATGATTGGCGGTGTCCTCTTGGCTTTCCTCCTCTCTAGTGTGTGCTTATTAAAAAGAGTGAATGGCTTTGTGGGAGGGGCTTTGCTATTCTAGAGTGGCAACAGAGTATAGCATGACCTCAGTTAATTTAATCATTTCGAAGAGTCCTAGCGGGCACCCATGCATTTTTATGGGAAGGACTCGGTGTCATATTTTGAACCGAGAAAATGACCCTACAAATGGGAAAGCACAGGCCTTCTGCTACAAAATTAACCGAACCAAACTTTGTTTTCAAGATCAGACCGGAAAAAGTCGACTCCTGTCTTATAAACGGCGAGTAACAGAAATCCTGTGCTAGTCTCGCCACGTTAGGAAGCTAATGCTATGACCCCATCTTGATTTCTTTAATGCTTGTTATGGCTGTTTTCACATCTGGTATTTTCACTGTTCTTTGGCCAAAAGTGAGTGGCAGGTCACCATAGGTTTCCAGAAGAAAGCGGTCGCATATGCAGAAATTTCTAGGAAGTTCGTAGCGCAGTGGCGCTTCGTCGCAACCGAGGAAAAACTATGGTATTGTTGGTGCAAAACATTAAGCCTCACGACTAGCAGCAACTTAATCGTGGATATACTGCACCGTACGGCATTTATTTGAGCTCTACTCCACACAAAATATTAGAGGGGCACTTAGGTATCCCTTTGTGGATTGAAAGCGAAAGCATTGCCATTCCTAACGACACTTCCTTCTTTTTCCCCTCTATTGTTAGGAATGGCAATGCTTTCGCATTCAATCCACATAGGAATACCTAATTGCCCCTCTAATATTTGTTTTACATTACATCATGCGGCGTCACACATCATGGTACGTCATGTCGTCACGTGGAGTGTGATGTCATCAAACCGAGGACATATTTTTATGACCATCTTTCGGGCACATCAACGCCGATGCCGTCAAACATGATGAAAAAACAGCCTCGGATAAACAGGGACGAAGAGCGGGTAAAGACATGCCGTCTTTTGCTGTAATGGGACAGGCTTCTTTTTGAGGGGAGAGTAATGTTGCATTCCGAAGCGGCTGAGATAGCAGAGCAGCTGGCATGCCCGGCTCTCACACAGCAACACTGGATTCACATCTCAGCCGTGGAAGCACATTTTATTCTTTCTTTTATTCCTCTGTTAACGTTTGGTACAACTCGGATTTTCTGTCCGTGGACATATAATGCTTTCGCATTAAAAAGGCACATCCAGTCAGGAATGTGCCTTTTCGTGTGGTAGGGTCGCACAGCTGCTCACCACTTTGAAAATCACTACTGAAGTATGAGAGGGCGCTAGTGATCACCAAATCAGGTTCACGCCATTCATAGGTGAAGGATCCTTTTGGGTGCACTGAAGATTTGTGTGGCACTTTCTTTCGTTGATTCATTGGCGCATCTCGCCTTTGATTGCAGTCCTGCACCTCGTTAGCTCTAACGGGCAGGGTGGACAGCTCGGCAGACTCGTCGGCTGAATCCTTCGTGTGTTGTTTAGCATTGTCCTTAGGCTGCTTCAAGTAGGGATGCATGTGAACAGTGCGCAAAACACATGCCTCTTGCCCACGCTTCTATATTCATTGCTGGTCGCGGCGAAATAGCCAAGTGATGTGCGGCCATGTTTGCCCTAAAAAGTTTGTGAGACACTTTGGATAATGTCGTAATATTCCGTTGTAAGTCACACAAAAGTTGCGACAATCTTGTTTTGTTAATTAGGATTTTTTCTCGGGTTTTGTCATACGCAAGTTTTTATCGTAAGTTTGCTTTTTGAATTCGGCCTCGGATGTCTCGATCCTCTCAATAATTCAAACTTAGTGTGGCGGATCCAGACCTCCGTTTTGGTGTGGGCGGAGAATTTTTAAGGATACTATTTTCCCATTCTTTCTTGTGCAAGGGGGGTCCACTCATATCAAATTGCCGTCCGAGAAGGGGGGAGCGAGGGGGGTCAACTTTGTAGGGGGGGGGCGGCCCCCCCCCCCTCCCCCCCCTTTAGATCCGCCACTGTTGTGAAAGCTGCAGTTGACACTCACCCATTCGGAGCATGGCTTTATGATCCGCATAGAACCCTATTACCCTTTCCTTCGTGTCCGTTGTGATTAAAAATACTTCTTCAAGATAGTAAACAAACACAAAAAAGTAAATAAAAATACACAGGGACAACAATTGTGGGCATAAAACACTGGCGCCAGTGTTTACCACCACTTATTGTCCATGTGTTTTTTGCGGCGCTAGTCTACGATCACGGATCAATTGGCTCGAATTGCCATATTAATTCTGCGAGATGCTTATAAGTCTTAGCTTCTCTATGTTCGAATTTGGTAAACTTCATAAGCGGCAACATCTGCTGGCTTATCTTTGGTAGACTTTTTCAAAAGCCGAAATAAAAAAGAGTGCAATGCGGCGGCAAAAACAGTGAGCGATTGATTCTCGCAGACTCGGGGGCAAAACATACTTTTGCATTATGGTGCCCCTGACAGTGTTATTAGTGCCAGTCATTAAACTATCAAGGTAGTGTCTAAATTAAGTGCCTGGGTGAGCAAAAATGTAGGAATTTTGAATGTGACTTTCTGCATTTAAGGCTGGTTCACACATACAGTGCAGCGCTAACTCAGTCCTGTTAAGGCAAGGAGTCACTGCTACTTCCATGGCCTGTATTGTGTGTTCTGAGGGTCCTCCTTTCATAAAGGACTGATGTCCCGGTTTGCAATACTGATTCAGCGCTGAGGTAGTGCTGCGCTGTGATCAGGATACCTTGCGCGGACATTGAAGTTTAGATAAGCAGATCAACGTGTAACTGTGCATGTTTTTTTTTTATAGGTTACCAGTACAAGGTCTCCCATGGACATGAAGGCAGTACAAGGTCTCCCATGGACACGAAGGCAGTACAAGGTCTCCCATGGACACGAAGGCAGTACAAGGTCTCCCATGGACACGAAGGCAGTACAAGGTCCCCCATGAACACGAAGGCAGTGTACCGTATACTCGAATTTTGCATTTTTAATAAACCAGTTATTACTCCTTCCCACGGTTTTATGCAGGCATTTTCCGAACCTTGCATGCGTATATAGGCATACATATAAGTAAAACACTTGCACTCACTTCCCCCTTCCCTCAAAACAACGGTTAGATCCGGATCACATGTTATGCAACCTATTGCCGTCTTCCCCCTTAGAGTCGTCTATCTAGAAACCCATGCTAGGAGTATAATTTCTATTACATTTCATTTGAAAGTCTAGATACACTGCTTTGAGTCTCTGTTGAAAATCAAATGTTATTTTCTACAGCGTTGCAATTCAGATTTTGATGAGCCATCTCATTTGGTATATTCCGACTCGTCGGAATATACCTAATGAGATGGCACGTCAAAACCTCAAGTACAACGTGGTAGAAAAAAACATTTGATTTTCAACAGAGACTCAAAGCAGTGTATCTAAACTTTCAAATGAGATCCATTAGAAATTCTTACGAGGTGGCACGGCAAAACCGTAATTGAAACGCGGTGGCCAATAGTTTTCGTAAACTCCTTAGGGACTCGTTACAAAAAATCAATTGTTTTTCAACACAGACTCGAAACGGTGTCAATAGACTTTCAAATTATATTCATATGAAATACATTGGAAACTTTATGCGGTAGCTTTGTCGAAATATCAATTGGAATGCGGTGGCCAATAGTTTTCGTAAACTCCTTACGGACTCGTTACAAAACTCGTTTGCATTTCTATTGAGACTCGAAAAGATGTAATGAGTAGACTCCATAAACTGTCAAATGAAATTCATTAAAAATTTTTGTAAGGGTAGCTTTACGCCTACCCAGTAATCGTTAGAATCAGAGCTCGGCCTTCTGACGTCCTGTCTTATCTCCTTCTTTCGCGCACTTCTTCGGTGTATAAAAATTGCACACATCAAATCACAAAGCAAAAAGCGCTAGTGAATTTTAACTACTTCCTCGGCCCCACCGCGACCATGCGCGTTCTATATTGCCTTATACAAGAGGTCACAAATAACTTGCAAAAACACACACACACACAAATAAAAAGCACTAACGAAGTGTTTTGTTAGAGCGAAACCTACTTCACGTTGTTACCAAAGGTCATAAGAAAATTCGCGAAGTATTTAGTGCACCTCGGTATGTAACTACTTAAGACTACTTGGATAACGTTTTAATTATTATTTTAAGGGCTAAGATGTGAATTGCAAAGTGCTATATCTTATTGAGAAATATTACCAAAATCATTCCCTGACTTAGAACTAGTTATAATTTTAATCAGTACATATAAATTAATTTCTCTTACGATGTAACCAAGACGGTGAGGTCTGCAATGACTTTAATCTTATTGGTGTAAACAGCATCTGCAAGATTCTCCAGCGTTTTCTCAGATAGCGCGTATTTTTTCCTGTGGGTGTGTGGCCTCAAGACATCTTGATCTTCTACTATTTCCGTAATAGAGTCCCTCTAGAAAAAGGAAAATTAAGATTTTGCATTACAAGTCTCTTGGAAACGCACGAAAAACAGCGAATATCTGAGAAAAACTGAGCAAAGTGTACATACCCCTGTTATGGTAGAAACACCAACCAGAACAAACTGAACTCTTGGATGCGTCATAACGGCGTATCGCATGTTTATCTTGAGAGAAAGTATGGTGAAATTGAAATGTATTTTTATATTAGTAAGCAGGTGAGTGCTCGGTGGGGAGGTTTCACCCCACCCCCCTCTCCGAGATGTAGTTGACTGAGTCCGTCCACCCTAATGACCGGTGCCATTCTTAACACCCGTCTACTGAAGTAATCACTCCCCCAACAAGAAGTTAAGAAACTTTTGTTTGCATCATTATATGCCAGTAATAATTCGGCACCAAAAGAATACATCGACAGCGATATATTGAAATGACTACTTAAATTGACTACAATTTGAGTCTATTTATGAGTTTCCTATTTCTAGCCTGTGCTTTAGTGAGTCTTTAAACTAATTTTGCATATTTATACGCTTCCTAGTGAACACGCTTTATTTAAGGTATAATTAAAACAGGTTATTGAAATTGAAAACATTGAAATAGATGTTGAAGGGAGCCCGTTTCAAAAACACAAATTAATATAGCTATGAATTGAGTGAGATCTCCAGTATAAGTTTTCTTACTTTACAGAATTTTTTGTACATGGTGGATCATAACTGAGTGTATCGCTACTAAAAATGCTTGATTATTAATTAGGAAAAAAATAAGTTTTTATCATATTTAAAAGTGACGTGCACGTGTTTCCGACTTCATGTCAAAAGTCAAAGAATACTTTTAAACATGGACAGAAAATTAAACTTGGACAAGTTTCAGACCAGGTTTTCGTTTCTGTGATCGCTGACAAGGCAAGCTACTTTTGAAATATTTCGCTGCGTCGGGAGAAGCAAGCTATTACTAATAGCCCCCTTCTTTTCAAAATAGAAAGCGTTCGTAGATTTGGAAATCCGGTCTCGGTGGTTTAGCGGCCGAGCGACTGCTCTGAGGACAATACATCATATAGAGTTGTTCTGCTTGTCGCTGCTGCTACGGCGCTTTTCTGGCTGTTACTACTCCACTGCCACCTAGAGTCACTAAATAAAGCTACGCTTCCAGAGTACCGAAACCCCCAAACTGCGCGTCTGAAGCGCGTCAGGCGCCGCCACCTTGGGCCCACGCAGAGATGGAGAAGTGACTCTAGCTGGGCCAAGCCGAGCTGCAGCCGTCGCCTGCGCCAGCCGCCGCAGCCGCAGCTATGGCAGCGAATTAAGGTCGTGTTGTTCGTATCTCGACGTAACACGGAAAACGCGCGTGCTGAGCGACGGACTTCAGTGTGCGCGCGCAGTAAACAGTAAACAGAAGCAGGCAGAAGGTACCGCTGGACCCAAGATGGTGGATTTGAAAAAAAAAATGCGATGGTGATGATAGCGATTCGCGTGACTGCCGCTGTCCGATGATGCCGCAGCGAACCAGAATATTGTTGAATAGAGCGACTGTCTTGTCGGCAAAATTCCGAAGAAAAGGAATGCGGTACTCTGAAAGCGTAGCTTATTTAGTGACTCTACTGCCACCCTCCGATGCCTCAACAGCCCCGTGTACAGCACGAACGTCGTCGTGCTAGACGAGCGCAGCTCCTATTTACTGCCTTAGATTATAAGGCAAGCGATTGACTTACACTTCCCTCGGAATTTTAAGTATACACCCATGTACGAGTCAACTTCACCCGTCTTGATAGCAACAGGGGCGATCTGGTGGGAACGCCGGGCAAATCGCCGTATCTCTTCGCCAAGCTTCGAACAGCTCGTAACGAGGCTGGTAATATAACCGCATCCCTCTGATATTCTCACAACCTTTCAACGTCAAGTACCGCTGGTGCATTCGATTTCATGGCTGGAACAACAACGCCGACGCAAATATCAAAATTGAAATTTTGCAAATGAATATAGATCAAACTTCTCGGGAGCAAGTAGCGCAGAAACTTTCTCAGGATCGCTCGACGCCCAGCGCCACTTTTCCACTGATCAGCTGAAGCCGCGCAGTGATCGCTCCAACGGCTCCATTTCTACCAGTGACAGAGGGAGAGAAAACTCACATTTCGCGAGGGGCAAAGAAATACGTTCGTTCAGCGAGCGCCGAGCGCTCGCTGTTTTTAGGGGAAGGAAATAGAAGATCGACAATTATTATGATAGAGTTGCAAAATGTTGTCTTTTGAGTTCTCTACCTGGTGTGAAAAATGTCCTACATAACTTTACATTGAAGCTTTGTCTTTCGCGCATCAAAACGGGCAGACGAGATGTGTTACACAGAAGTAAACAAACATTATACTAGTAATAATTTATGAAGAAAAGAGGTCATACCATGTTAACAGTTAATGCTGCATACTTTAAAAGGCTCGATACCCCGGCAAAGTGTCTACTGTGGTTTTCATCGAAAATAAAATGCACCTCGGCAAGGAAAAGGTCGGGCAATTTTACTTGAGGTCGTATTGCTAAAAAATAGTAAAATATGGGTGTTAAAGATGTGACGTTCATTGATTTTTCAATACAAGTGTCAGGGTAGAAATATTGTTTCCCCAAATATATGGCACTGCCTAGGGTTCTATACGAGTTGTAAGTTACGTACGAGTCCGCACATTTAACTGTTCAAGAATAACTTACACAATTAGAGCCAGCTTTGCTAATCTGACCTTAGATTTCTAGGTATATTTTCTCAGGTATATCTCAAACTGGAGGTAAATTCTTCAAGGAAATAATAGGTTACTAGATACCTTTGAGATAACAAACGAAATTTTCTGTCTATTATCATTTTAAGGAAAAAACATTTTTATGCAGAAACACATGTGCTTTTAGTTTTGCTTGCCTCTTAAGGTATCATTTTTGACACCTCAAGTAGTAGAATGTTCCAAATCTTTTAGATGTTTTTTTTTTTATTTTGACCCTTTCAACTATTTAACCCTTTTTGAAAACAGTAGATTTACGTAGATGATCGTGTCATATATTAAAAACATGCATTGGAAATTTGTTCTACGGACCCGCACAGAGCGCCATACCGGGAGTGCGAATGTGGTTTTGATAGTATTTTCATTTTTGTCTCGGACAGTTACAAAATGTCATAAAAACTACTCCGCACTAAAATGTGCTTATTTTCTCTTTTTTTATGGCAAAAAAATTAAAGGCGCCATCTCTTGGGGAGCTACCTCCGGTTCGTCCATATTTTGTAAATATTTACGCACCATTCCTTTACCATAAGATTGCATTATGTGTAAGAGTGCCATAAGTGACCTTTCCCGGAAGACAGCGCGTAGATGTGATTTTGAAAATACTTCAAAACCGGCAGTATAGTTTAGAACCGGAAGTGTTTCGGGGCTATTTACCAACGGGGCTATTTGTCACACGAGAACAAGCGAATACGCAGCATCAATTTGCGTGACACCGTTTGTTAGTCTATGTTAAAGGAGGCGAATAAAGCGTAAGTACTTATATCATGCTCCGGTTGACTGGATCGCGCAGTGTAAAGTTTACGTCGCATCTAGTATATTATGATAATAATAATTCTTCTTCACTTTGGTTGTGTCTGCAAGCAATTATATCGGTCTCCTTGGTGATGTACATTACAGTAACATTAAACACAAAAGCCAATATCAAAACCCAAACAACGCAACGCTACAGAGGTAAAATTAATACCCCATACGCAAATAAATAAAACATTCATACACGCATTTTAAAATAAAAATTATGAAAATAAGTAAAAATATAAATTTTGGAAGTTTTACTTGAGGTAATGAAGATAACGGAAAATAATAATAATATTAATAATAATAACAATAACAAAAATTATAATCAAATTATAATAATAATTCTCGCTTCACTTTCCTTTGAGATAGATATATATGATATACAGGTATGCTCTCTTTGTAGATATATAGAGAACGCACTATATCCGTCGCATTTGCTCTTTTTTTATTTTTTAATTGTTCTTCTGACCTAAAAATTTCACTCCATCAAATTTTAAGACACGGAGAAAATTCGAATTATTAGTTTTTAATAAGCGAACCAACTTACGTTGTCGTGTTAGCGGGATATTCCGTTCCGATGGGACTGCAAAACGAGATTTGTAGTGGGATAATAATTTCTCAAGATATCTCAAGCTTATCGAGGTTAATATAAAATAGCTTCGTGCAGATGGTATTGCAGTTGATTTTCACTCAAAGAATCTGGTTCAATCGATGTTAGGTAAAATGTGTGTCATTTGTTAATAATTCTGGAAAGTAGCATACTGATCGCGATATTTAAGGCGTTTGTTTACATAAACTACTGAGAATGTATAAAATAAATATAAATTTATTGTAGGTGTTCAGTCCATCCTTTGTTGCTGACAGGGGTGTGCGGTACCCGCTTTTCAATAATATGTTTGCGTAATTAAATATTGATTCGTTTCGTTTATTCTGTACTTTAGTTATATAAAACGCCACGAGCTGATTTTACGAGAGCAGTTCTTTTAGTCTGCGTAACTACGTCGAAAGTCTGGTACCGAGGATAATAACATGAATTATAAACACTATGAATTTTGATGTGAAGAAATAGCGTCATATATTTTGGAGAAACCTGTAAGTCAAATAAAAGTGGTCACTGCGGTAAAAAAAAGAAGAAAAAAAAAGGGTATGGGCGATGAGAATTGTAGGGTACTAGCACCATTGGAACACCTTCTACAATCTTAGAAAGAGTCCCAATAATAGCTGCCTGCGCGGCAGTGAAAACTCTCTGAACCACGCTTCGAAGCTCATTTGGCCACGGCGAGGAATGGTTTGGAGAATGATCGCTGCTGACGGTACCATATCTCCTTTTTTTTTGTTTCATGTCAGCAAAATGATTTCTTGTTCTTTTTGCGAAGCATCATGCTATGGCAAGACTTACGGTTGATATGATAAAATTCACTGTTTTAATTACACACCGAAAAAAAAACACAATTGAGTTGAGTTCTTACAAGTAAGAAAAATTCAGCAAAAAGTTGCTATCTTAGAATATTTTAATTAGTTTTTAGGCATCTGGAAAGACGTAATTTTCGGCATTCACTTGTCCACGTGTCTGTTTGCTTTAATTCCGAGTGAACGACAAGCCCCTTGGGTGGTAGCCTGAAAATGTAGTAGAACTTTCATTCGCCTGAAACCTTAATATCACCAGTTCCTTCATGCCATTATATGTAAGGGATAAATATCGCGCCTCGTTTCTACTGATGACGCCTATTTCTATGATGGGCTGGCGACGACAGAAAAAAGCAATCCTTTTTATGGGAACTGTGGCGCAGTATCTCACCTATGTAGTCAGTTTTGAATTCCGCCGGATCTTCGATTTCAAAAACTTTGTGTGCGATGCGTCCATCTTCAGAGCGCCCCATCAGTGGCAGAGGGGCAATCCTCAGCGTGTGGCCCAAAGACCCCCTCTGTGAGTAATATGGAGATGGCTTATGAAAAATTCTTGGTCGGAAGACTATTTAATAAACTCGTGCCTGATAGTTTTTGTATTGAAAAGCAACTACATAATGCGAAGTGTTTTAGTCGTTTACGTGTTGACAAATAAATGATTCCTTAGAATAGAAGCTTATTGCGTACACTTTGTTAACTACGTTACATGATATGTTCCTTCCCAATATTGCAGCATATTTTTTGTCAACCTATCGGTGTGAATGATTGCATAAAAAATACAATTCAAATAATTTTTGCCATAAAATAGCCGGCTCTCTGCCTGAATATATTCGCTAAAAGTTTTTAACTTTTTCAATATTTAAGATTTTCAGAATGTAATAGGGCAACTTAACAGGTTGCACGTTTTAATCGTTTTGCATTGTATTTTCAGTAGATAATTTATATCTCACTGATGAAGGGACGGCGTTTTCAACACTAGAACTTTAAACTTTTTATAAACATCGACGTTATAATATAGTATGTTAAACTCAACATTTTATGAAGGCCAGATTAGTCCTTTCTTTCTGACCATGTTTATGGAAAACGATTGTTGGAACGCTGCACGAGCTATATGCCTCGTTCAGATACTGGAACTTTACTCTTATTAAGCAAATGGGAATTAAACAAAATAATATTGAAGGCTACAAAAAACGAAAGTAACTGCGGTTAAACTTTTTGCGTAGCTTGTCCGGAAGAGATATGCTTTGACACCCTGATGCGAGGTCGTCCCGAGTGTTATTCGTGCGTAAAACACACTTATAAATAGGTCAATGGACGGAGTGCAACAAAACTTTCCACGAAGGTGTCTTAGGTGGTGTGTTTATCATACGCATATTAAGCAACTGTAAGTAACAAAAATAAATAAACAGACTAAAGAAAAAAGAAAGTCAAGTTGTTTGTATGCACAAGAAGCAAACACGAAAACACACCTTGCTTACGCTCCTACTCACTCCTTAAGCCACACAGGCTCGCATCTAAAGGATCTGTTTTGGGATGCTTATGTCGGAGAAACGTTTAATATCGTGTTTAATCTTGTATCCTCTGTGTCGCGCAGCGGCAAAAAGACGTTTTTTTTCTGTTTTTCCTTTTACGCCTAAGAATAACGGGATTGTTGTGAAATCAATTTGCTTCAACATACCTTCAACCTTCAAATTTCGGAATGACAAATGACCCCCATATAGGCACTTTTGTGAAACGCTTAAGATTACCTGGATTATTTGCTTATTTTTACGAGTTTTGACATCTGAATAGTGCTCGAAAGCACTCTGTAGAAGAATGAAAAAGTACAGCTTCTACGCGAACTCAAGTTTACTATAGAACAAAAAAACAAAAACGTCAACTTAAGTTAATGCAACTCTAATAAAGCATTATATAATATTCGGAAGTCTAACTTTATGGCTATTTTAATTATACAACTTACTTTGACTTATTTCATAAACTTCAAGCATCCCAATTTATAGCAGGAACCTCACAAGTGTCATAATTTGGTGTTGCTTACCACTTCCACAGATCCGTCTTTCTCTGTGACAGATACCGCTGCCATTTTACTTTGATCACGGTAAATGTCCTTTTCCACTTCTCTGCCATCTACCTGAAAAACGAAAGTAAGACACAGACATCAAGATATCACCGGAAGAATTCAATAAACCATCACAGTTCTTTTCTCGATAAGCTTGTTTTAAGCAGTTGAGTCCGTGGAAACTAAACAACGAAAAAATATAAATTAATTTGGACATAAATTTTTGCTATACTGTTACCCCCTGGCACATGCGGCGTACTAATTCTGGTTTGTGAACAAGAAATGAGCACTAACAGGACGAATATCGATAGAAGACAAAAAAAGGTCGGAGAAGGTCGCCTTACCACTCCTCGTGTTCCAGCGATGTTCTGCCATTTTTGAAGCGTAAGCGCTATATAAAATACATAGCAGAATTTATTTCCTGCTGACATAAGCCTGCTGAATCATTCGAAACGCCTTTGTTTTAGTCATGGACGAAAAAAATGAAAGCCGTTTACAATTCCCTGTAACGCCGGTTAGAGCGCAGCTCTTGAGGAGGAAGATGGAAGCGTACTGAGGGATAGGTGACTCCTTGAGGTCACGTGCCCTAGGGGTGTCATGTGACCTGGGTGGGTCACGTGACCCCTTAGATCACGTGACCCACCCAGGTCACGTGACCCCCTAAGGTCACATGACCTTAGGGGTCACGTGACCTTAAGGGGGTCACTTGACCTCAGGGGGTGGGTCACGTGACCCCTTAGGTCACGTGACCCCCCTAGGTCGCGTGACTCCAGAAGTCACGTGACCCCCTTGAGGTCACGTGACCTCCTAAAGTCACGTGACCCCCTTGAGATCACGTGACCCCCTAAGGTCATGTGACCCCCTTGAGGTCACGTGACCCCCTAAGGTCATGTGATCCCTTCAGGTCACGTGACCCCCTGAGGTCGCGTGACCTCGGGGGGGTCACGTGACCTCGCGGTTACGCCGACGGCGACGCCGCTCAAGCTGGAAACGGGCCCCTAAGAGCTGCGCTCTAAAAAGAATAAAACAATTAAAACAAGGACAACACAATGCTATCTCGTCCGACACCATGGAATTGCTCTCGGCCCCAAGTTCGCCCCAAACCTTCATACTAAGAAGGTTCAACAATTCGCCTCAGTACATCAAGTCGCCGCCGCCATCTCAGAGCCACAGAAGCAAAATTTTCTCGACTCCGCCATCCGCGCCGTGTGCTTCCACCCACCCCCCCCGAGCCAGGCAAGACCTCTCCACTCGCCGATGTTGAAGCGCTTCGTCAAGAACACCTAAAGCTGTTAGAATCCGATAAGACGGGTGTTTTTGGTGTGTTAGAGGAGGGAGATTTTGGAACTGAGGTGAACGCCGCCCTTTCAAAAATTTTTCTCAAACTGACATCGCGACCGTCCCGGAGCCTCAGGTCAAGAGCTAAACTACTCTGCTCGTCTTTGAACCTGTCGCTCCTAAAAAGCGCCATTAGTAGTCCAGCGAAGCAGTACCTTTCAGTTTTCTTCACTGCAAAAACACATAATACTGGAGTTCCCCTCCGAAGTATTGTGTCGGAAAAGGGTTGTTGGCAGAAGCAGCTCGGGCTTTTTCTACAAAAGCATCTGTCCTGCATCCACCTCCCTCAATCCTTTAGAGTGTCTAACTCAATAGAACTCATCTCTGTCATCAGTTCCCAACATTTCTTCTCCTTGTCGCACTCTATTTCTTCACGTGACATAGAAGACATGTTTTTCAATCTAGATCCTACCGCATTGCTTGCCTCAATCTCCGACGCCATCTTTAAGCACGGAGCTGTGGATTTTCAGAATTTCTTCGGTGTCTTCGTTGCTGGATTCGTGGAGCTGTTTCTTTTATATCTCCAGTCCACCTTAGTTGAACAACAGAGAGGGATCTACCGCCAAAAGAAAAGAGGTTGCATCGGTTCATGCCTCGCCCCTGTTCTCAGCGAATTGTTTCTTTTATTCGTTGACAGAGCTATAAAAGTAGAACTGTACATCTCCGCGCCTGGCTGCCATGTTTTAAGATATGTAGATGATTACCTAACCATTCATCCTGATCGAACTTCTCCAGATAGCATTACAGCCGTTTTTTCCGCTTGTTTGTCAGGCCTTACATTCACGAAGGAAGAACCTTCGAATAAAGGTCTTTAGTACCTAGATTTGCGGTTTCATGTCAGTGCCACTGGACTCTGCTGGGCCTTTCAACAAAGGTCTGCTAAACCTGTCCTACCATTTTCTAGCGCCCATTCGAAGTCGGTAAAACAAGGTATCATCAAATCGTTGCTTTCTTAATCCTTTACGAAGTCTTGCTGTCATCTTTCAGGAGATAGCTTCAAATTGCAGCACATGAGGATTCTCAGGGCAGGGTTTCCCGTCGACCTTCTTCGACAAGTAATGGAAAGGCTGATTCGCGGGCCTGATCGCCAATCACCAACCACAAAAAGAAAGCCCGATTCGCCGCCATTCCTTACGTACACAATTCAGCCCACCGGATAAAATCCATTACCTCAAAGTTCGACACGAATGTTGTCTTCTCGTACCGCATGCGTCTTAAACAACTCTGTCAACAAGTGAACAACAACAGGATTCCGATTGGCTGCACTGTTAAACACGAGAAGAAATTTATTCCATGCAAAGAGAAGAAAGTTTACTACATTCCCTTGAGCTGCGGCCATCAATACATAGGACAGACCGGCAGACGCACCAATCACAGACTCCGCGAACATCGCAACGAAGTTCCTAAGGCCTCTCCAGATTCTCATCATCCGATAGTAATACATGCCCGTTCGTGTTTGCGTTGTCATCCCCTCTTTTATGAAACAAAAATCCTGGGGGGGGGGGGCATGACAGTAGATTCGGCAGGGGGATGATAGAGTCATTCGTTATGACCACAGCAAATAACAACGTGTCAAACCCTTGCCTCCCGCTGACGAAAGCTGAGGTTGAATTTCTAAAATCCGAGATAAGCTCACCACTCTGACTTGCACTTCGCGTTTTCTTATCTTCCCTTCTCCCCCTTCTCCTCTTGGGTATAGTCGGCTGCTCGCTGTTGAAAGTTTGCTCGTCTTTTGCTAGTTGAAAGATGTGGTTGTGTAGTCCCTGTTTTAATTGTTTTATTCTTTCTTCATCCATGACTTAAACCAACACGCTCTTCTCCCAAGCATACCTTTGTTTTAGATTTGCCGAGTTTAACGCAGAATTGATGTTCCCTCTGGCTCTAGTTTGCAGTCCGTGGTTTAATCGCCGTGGTGCTCGTATACGTGGTAAAAAAAAAGTTCAGCTCCGAATGCTTACAGGACGACGCCCTTTGGCATAATGAGATATGAAAGGTCCCTGAATGCGACTGCTGAGCGCTCATCACCATGCTGCCCTCCCTTTTTACGCTACAAAACCAGTCTCGAAACGTTTTGGTCGCACGTCAAGTCCCAACTTTGTGTTTGGACGCCACTCAATCCTTCATTGCTTTTCCCTTCTCCCTTTAAATAGAAAAAAAACAAGAACGACAACAACAAAAAACAACACACACACACACGCGCACGCACGCACGCACACGCACACAGACACACAAACACAAGTTTTTTTATTCTTATAGCTCACGCTTTGTTTGCAATAATGTGCAAAAGTAGGTATTTTGGACGAAGGCGGATTAAATTACCAACTTCCTTCACTTCGTGCTAGGACGCTACAAAAAAATGGGATGAGTGTTCACTCTAGGAAGGGTCGATGTTGCTAGATCTTGAAGCAAGAAGCGTCCATGTAATCTAAAACATTGAATAATACACGTTCGCGATATTGTGCTATTAATTGTGATGTGCTAACCTAAATACAACTGTACAGTAGTCAATAAACGTAATCATAATGTAGGGTGACCACAAGTCCCGCTTTTGAGGTCCCGTTTTTGAGGTCCACTTCTGCCGTCCCGTCCTTTTGTCCCAATAAAAAACCCTGCACCGCTTTCGCAGGAGTGCATAGTTTCGAAATTGGCACCAAGAAAGTTAAAGCAAACCGAAGCTATGCCTACTCGTTACAAGTATATTTCAGAAAAACGACCGTAGGTACTTTAATATAATTACCCCGAGAGTAAAATTTAGAGCTGTTCTTAACCACAAACAATTGTTTTCGCGCGAAGACGGGTGTGTAGGGTGCGTAGGAATATTTTTTTAGTTATTGGATATAGCACGCATATAGAATCTCGGTTGGCACAGTTGGTCACTGAGAGTTTGAACGCAGAACATGGCGAACACTGACCATGTCACTTCCGCTTTGTAGTCAATGAGATTGCGTTCCTCGACGATAAGAACGCACAAAAACAAATCACGAAGCAAGAAACGTAAACACAATAAGCCGTATCCTGCGTTTCTTAAGCCGTTAGTAAAAAATAGATGGCCCTATATGGTGATCGTTGCCAAGTGATAACCTTCAAATGTGTGGCGAACTAGATAAAAAAGAAAAAGATAGAGAGACGATGCTTCTGTATAACGAATTCACCGGTACAAGCTGGTTTACCAAGCTCAATCAAAAGATCACACATTCTAGAATTTCATCCACGCTACCTTGACTTGCCGATCACAAGAGCTACCATAGCATAAACCATAACAGCAAAAGATAGCAAACTCTGACATCCTTTTCGCTGATGGTGAATCATCAAAACAATTTCAATTTTCTGGAGTCTGTCCTTTGATTAAATTATGTTTACGCAGAATATCAAAGTGCGCGGAAAATCTCATGGTCAAAATTGTAAGTACCATAAAATAGAAGTCCGGGGAAGGGCATCTGAATTACAAAAATTGTATATGGGCACACCAGAATTTCTGTAGGTTCTTGTCGCACCTTCCAGAAATGTTTGACAGGTCTGAAAGGTTCATCATGGTTTTCTGAGAAATGTGTTGACGTACCCCTCAAGAACGTCTCAATAATCTGAGGTCCATTTTAGTTTCCAGAGAAACCTGTGGGGTCTGTTGTAATCTTTACCGGGAAAGCACGCGACTTCTTATAGTAGCTTTAACGTATTTGTGGAAAATATCACGTGACCCTTCGTGATATGTGTGTAGGGAAATCCGCTTGTCTTTTTTGGGTTTGGCGGCCGCAGCGAGCTGTGACTCATTGTTGGCTTTCCTTCCCACACGTGGGATCTAAAATCTTAAAGAAGCTCAGTGTGCGTATAACAAAGATTTGAGTTCCCCGTCTCTTGAGCCGGTTAGTCCCTGCAGCTCAGAAGCACGTCCAGCGAGCAAAACAGACAGAGGGATGCCACAGTGACGTGCAAAATATTTCTTCAACCCCAGCGAGTGTTGGTTTCGCGCTCGTGGTTTTTCCTGAACACGTAACTGGCAGTGCCTGTACGCGCGCGCGTGCGAGTGCGTGTGTGTGGTGCATCTGCTCGGTTTTAAGGGTTGAACTACTGACCATACGAGCGGCATTGTGAGTACCTTGAAGAAGATTTTTTTTTTTGGCTTCTGAAAACTTTGTTGGAATTATTTTGTAAGATGAATTTTGTCTACAGCTAAACTTGTGCAAGCCGTAGACGTCGCATTCGCACTAGCTTCTTAGGCAATTGTGTGACAGGCAGTGGGTGTCGAAAAGAACCCTGCGGTTTGTCTGGTTGTTTGTACAACCAACAACGGCACAGTGCCGTCCGGACGAATTGCTCTGATACAGTACACAGCGGTAAAGAAGACCGATGCCGGCAACGTGCTAGTTCTGCTAGTACTGGGAAAGGTCGCGGGCTACTTTACCTAGTTTTGAATACTCATAGTTTTTGTCATCCTTCTGAGTTTCAGCATGCATGTAAAACTCAATATCTAAAATAAACCTACAAGGACGTCGTAAACAGCTGCGTTAATGGTTTATGGTCCACAATCAATTGGGCATCTAAAGGGTTTAAAGACAGGGGCCCAAAAGGCTAATGGTCTGAAAGGTCTGATGGGCTAGAGGTGTGAACGGCCTGAAGTGCTGAAGAGTCTGAAGGGCAGATTGGGTTTATAGGGTTTAGATGGTTTCACAACTAATGAGGGTTAAGGGCTATTTTCAGTAGGGATGAGCGCTAACTGGTGTAAAAAGTTTTGTCAAATTGCCTGTAACAAAAAAAATCGTTCTAAAATTAAAACTAATGTCAATTTAATTACACTCTAAATTGTTCCGAAAATTCTAAACATAGGTTTCGACTCCTGTGGGGCCTCACACCATTGACACTTCAGAGTGGTATTAATAGTCGGAAAATACCTGAGGTTGTCACAATCGTATTTTTGAATTTTTTTGGCTACAATTTTGTTTACGTGTCTATTCTTTGCATATATTTTTCTCAAGTTATTTTTGCTGATTAGTTTATCTTATTGTTTTTTTCTGGACAACAAAGGAAAAGGTCGAAATTTGCAAATTTAGTGTCGCAGCTAATAACCTTAGTGTGCGAAGATATTTATACACCACAAAATCATTTATAAATTGACGTATGAATTTATAAATTTATGTCGGAGATGAGTTCAAGTTTAGATACAAGAATCGGGATCCTGCTTGTTTTTGGTTTTTAAATACACTGTTCTCTGCATTAGCTAATATTGTATAACTTTTTAAGTTTTTTTTTTTCATTTCCTTCTTTTAATATGTTACCCTGTGTGTGAACTCGCATTGCCGCTGCTGCTGAAACTTTTGTGGTGCTGGGAACTCGTCAAGCTGTCCATTCTGCTTTTTTTTGCCAGCCCCCGCCTTTGTAAAAAAGTGGTAAATAAACATTGAATTGAATTGAATATAAAAGTGGAAAGCAGGAAAAATAAATAATACACAAGAGAGACTTATGTTTTAATACTTATTTATATAAGATTCATAATTCATGAATTTTCATCAGCACAAAACCTTAAAAAAACATATTTCGTGAGCCATGTAATGCATGTATGCTTCAAAGCATGGGCAGATTTCAGGTTTGGGCCAACTTTTTTGTAACGGAAAAAAGAGACATGCTTCTGATTTTTCTAGGAAGAAACGTTCATTTTTCGGCGGCATGGTGCATATTAGCTGAACCAAACAGATTTCGGCAACGCTCTGCCTGTGACGTCATCTCTTGGCAGGCCCCTTCCCCTCTGCTCAAGCATAACCTATAAATCCGCCCCCGCTTCAAAGCATATATTGTTATCCACTTGGTATGTCTGGCAAAGTGAAATTATAAGTATTACACGTATCTGTTTTTACCTCGAGTTTGGATATACTAGAGTTGCATAACACATTTCGGCATCACACCATAAAGTGGTTGCTTATAAAACTTTATTAGCTGCAAATCTTGATTTAGCCACTGAGTTAGACAGTTATAAGTAGCAAAAGAAAAGAAAGTTGTACTTCAGAATAACAAAGAATACTTACCAAAGTATCCACTTGCTCGTCGCCATTAATTGTTGATACAACTAGATTTTCAGCGAGTACAGAACTCTTCTCTAAATGCAGAGTAATTTTCTCATTGACTTGAAGTTGCTTTGTTCCATTCAGTCCTCTTGCTTCCACAAGTCTTGGGTAAACAACATATTCTGCAGAAGGTCCTGCGTTTCGGATGAGAAGAAAAGAGTCCACTTGCAAAGGTCCTCGTGCAAAACTGCAATAATTCCACTTCAGTTTATTTTAACAGTGATTAACCTGTCAATAGTGAATTAAGTGATATATCGGCACGAAAAAGGTGTGCACACGGCACTGTGCCGGACAAAGCAGATACGTAAAAACCCCTACGCTAGAGTGCCTGCTAGCCTCCAGCCGTGTACGCTGCGAGTGCAAATAAAACAACGCAAAAACAAAAACTCAAATTGATGGTTAAGCATGTTGAATTAGCCTGAGACTGGGGTAGAGAAGAAACGTCAAAACGTAGAAGGGACAGAAAATAGACAGGACGACGTCTCAAACTCAGCTAACTCGTTTATTTAGTCCACCTCTTTATATAGTCCCAATCTCAAGGTCAATTTCAGGTATAAGGAGGTGGAGTGAATAAATGAGTTAGTTGAGTTTGAGACGTCTATTTGCTGTCCCTTCTACGTTTTGATGTTTCTTCTCTACCCAAGTCTCAGGTCAATTCAACATGGTTAATATTCACCAGATCGTCTGCACCCTTACGATTTTTTCATTGATGGTTAAGATTGGAGAGGGGAACGGTGAAAGGGACGGATTGATAAAATTTAGGATTATGTCAACACGCCCGATGACATTTGAGTCACAAATATCCTGCGAAGTTCCCAGGACTCCTCGCGCGATCTCGGCAGAGGGCTGCGGCAGCGACGATATGGACAGGACTTCTCCGGTGGCAGGAGGCAAAAGAGATTACCTGCGTCGCGCAGTCCTGCCACGCGAAGCTTAGGCTGTCGCGACCTTCTGCTGAGGCACACAACGGCAAACAGGCGAGTTTAAGAAAAAGATCCGTAAAGCAGTTCATATAGAACAAGGATTCGCGAAATTCGTTTTCTCTGCTCTAGCCACCGCCAAGAGCTTTCAACCGTGCGGGGAAAGACCTGTTGGCCGCTCCCGGTGACCACGCACAGATTTTACGCGATGCGCGGAGCTGCACACTCTCTACTTTCCCCATTAAGTAATGTTGAGGGAGAGGTGATGATGCACAGCAGTGCTCCAGCAGAGGCAGCACTAATATTGTGTATAATGTGCCAGTATTTAAAAAAATCGAATTTTAGCAAGCCCGGCTAAGCACTTCTTACGCTAAAGAATTGACAGCATATAAACGCTTTGTAGGAGCTCTGCGTGGGCGCCGCCATATCCAACCTTCAAGTTTTGCTTCCTCTTAGTACGTCTACTTGACTTCGTCAATACCACAGCAGGGCAGGTCATTGTCATTATATGTTCTACTGTGTCCTTCTCCCTAGCACAGACGTTTGTGGTGGCTCGTCAGAGCCCACATTAGTAGCTCGGCATCTCAGTAAGACAAGAGAGGGTCAGCAATGGTGGCCATGATCTCGCGCTTGCGCAAATCGTCTATTGAAAATGTCAAAAAGTATTAAATTCATCGAGAGGGAGAAAACGTAAAAAAAAGAGAAAGGAACGAGTTTGGTTGATTCTGTCGAAGTGAAAGTTCAAGCACCTCTAGAAAAAAAAAATATAACCACGTGCATTTCTTCGCGGTACAAAATGTCAAACATTGAGGAAGTTGAAAGCTTGAATAGCAAATGATTCGGGTTTTATGTTCACAGACGACTCATCATTTCCTTTCCCTCTAGAACGGCTTATTTTAGAGCGCTTTCGAAATGCCTCTTTTAAATTTTGAACACCGTAGCAGCCATTAATGATATCCACGCCATTTTGACAGATCTTGTGATTATATAATGAAAGCAATCGAAAACACCCAGTTTAAGGAACTTCACTGCGAACCATGTAGAAATATTCTTTTTCCGAAACGGGGGAATCGGTGACCCCCAAAAGCAAATGACACTATTTATCTGAAATAAAGTGTGATACTTGTGAAATTATTATGAAATCGGCCATTTTCTCGGGCGCCGGGGGCCGGAACAATGATTGCAATAGAGCGGTATCTAAACATGTTTTTTCAGGTAGCATTCTAGGAACGGCGTGACCTTTTCATTTGTTCTTTTTCGTCTCTTTTCAATCCCGTACGCCACTTTCGCTTTTCTTGTGCCAAATTTGAGCAAAAAAAAAATGCTGAACCCATATTCAGATAATTCTTAGCGCCCAGGACGAATTCAGCTGATGTAACGCCGCGGCCACAGTCAAACGCTCCAAAAACTGAGTTTTGTCTCCTCAATGCAGAACCTTTATGTCAGCTATGATGCGGCATAACATTTGAACAAGGCCTATGGCGAACCCGGCTTTGCCGTCACTAGCAAATACAAGTAATTCGAGCAGTGCATCATGTCCAACTGTGTATTCAAATTAGATGAACGAATTGATGAGTGGAGGCCGTTCCCTTTTGATTGACTGGTGACTTGCCCCAGCTAGCCAAATTCTAAAATTGGCGTTGTGTTCAGTGATGTTAAACAATTTTAATCAGAGTGTACATCTATTCCAATCTGTATTCTGATCACAATTCCTCAAATCATCTTTTACCTTTCTTGTACTTCTTGGTATGCTTTGATTTAACTTCCTGCTCAAATCCCAGTTCCAGAAATAAAATAGTGATCTTAATTTTGTGATGTCCTTGGGTTCTCGAGTCATTTACATTTTATGATAACAATTTCTGGCGTTTTTATTTCTTCTTCACTGTAGTGGATGTTGTATCCAGCTCCTTCCATTTTATCTAATAATTGCTAATTCTCAGATATCTGTGGTCTAGTCTCCAATAATGACGCGGAGCCTCTAAGATTACCAATTATTCCCTTCTTTTTAAAATCAATGTCTCTTGCCGTGTAGCTGTCGATGGTTGGTTCCTTCTGCATTTTTTATCCCGCGTCTTTATCACTCTTTCCTTTACAGCCCATGGAGAACGACTCCATCTAGCGGAAAAATTGTGTAGGAGAGAAGCGAAGAGCTGCCACCTATCCAAGTGTGCAGTGGAAAGTGGCTCGTCCCTGCGGCCGATATGCTAAACAATGGGGGGGGGGGGGGGGGGGTTAGTTAGTGCACAAGATAAAAATTGCCAAAGAGCAAAAAAATAAAAAGAAGATGAATTTGCTTTTGCAGCATTTATCCACTTCGAACTGAGAATAGCTAAAAATCACGAAAAACAATTTTTTTTCACTCCTGAGCCATGAATATTGTTTAAATTCCAGCAGCAACATGAACTATAGCTTTCTAATTTCAACATTGCAATTTTATTTGCAATTTTAAATCAATGCGGAATTGATGGTATTTCTTTTAAATCAACTTTTGTTACCACCTGAAAACCGTGTGCATAATATTTTCACCAACAAAATGCACGGCCCATAGAGCGTTACATGTTAAAATTTTCTTCTGTATACGCTGGGAAGTTAACGGCTCTTTATACTCCGGAATCAATAATTGCAGCTAATTTCGGTAAGAGTACGTGTCAAATGCGGTATTCATTTTCAAAGAACCCTTCATTGTTCACTTTTCTGCTTCTGCATCAATATTTGTGAAGAGGTAAAACATTAGCTTACTGACGAAAAGGCAAACAGCGCACAGTAAACGGGGACTAAAGGAAGTGCAAACAGGACAGGCGCTTTGTCCTGTTTGCACTTTTTTTAAACCCCGTTTACTGTGCGCTGTTTGCCTTTTCGTCAGTATGAACCAACTAACCCACATCGCCACCCTTATTCATTAACTTCCATAAAAAAAAAATTACCGATCTATCTTAAAATAAAATATTAAGCATAAATATTTATTGGTGTGAGAATGAGAATTTCATGTGGGCACAGAAAAAAGATAAGACAAATTTCGTCGCCTATTGAAATTCTTTCACAAATTTACGGTTAGCTTTAAAGCCGCCCTATTGGGTGAGTTTAACCTATGCTTGTTCTGCTGCTCTATAGAAGCGTTTGAGAAATTCCTCATTCGATGAGCTTTTTGTTTTGAAAATGTTTATTTGCCTTACAAAAAAGTTTGCATGGGTACCTATCACACAACTTGCAGGTTTTCTCTTGGCTAACACATAAGCACGTTTATTTTTCGATATATTATGCCAAATAATGTACAACATTGCAGTTATGATGTATACCTTGCCTTTTATAACATCAAACGTCCGGGTTTGAACGTAGCGATCATTGTATGCACACTTTGCGACGTACATATACTGCCCAAAGGGCACATTATCAAGCAGGTACCTCTTAATTTCATGTGGTGTATTTTGTAGCATAACGAGACTTTGCGTCAAACTTCTCAGTCACCTTGTGCGTTTCTTTTTTTTTTTGATTTCCACACACATCATTTAGGTCTCTTTCATGTTAGACAAGCATTCTGCAAATCGCGGTTGCACAGCGTGGCTTTTTAACATGAAATTTGCACCGCGTAATTGAGGCAAGTATAGCTCCAGGTATTCAATAAACGCAAGAAAACAAACTTTATTGACCAACCTTTGCGGGTTGTTTTTATGATCATGTTCACTGTTCTGTGTTATGCAATTCTTCGCCTCAAATGTTTCTACACTATGTTTCTCTTTTACCCTTTCGCATAACACAAGCCATAGCCTCCTAAATACATTCGAAGTCTGTCAGATCACGGCGAGAATCGGCCACCGAAATGAAAAAAAAGAAGAAAAAGGTGGAGCCGCAGATTGCGGATGAGAGGAGAGCCACGTGATTGGCGCCCAAACAAACTTCTTTCAAGCGAACAGGTGTGTTTGGGGTGCTCGCCGCTGCAAAAAGCTCTGCGCTGACCTCCAGGTTGCCCGAAAAATGGCTCTTTGATGCTCTGTGCTACCAGATCGTCGGGCTCTATATCTGCGACAGATCACCTTTTGGCTCCGTTGTCGAACTGTGAGGCTTCGTGAGAATAGAGGAGGCTATGCCCGAGTCTCAAGTACAATATAATACGTTCTCTGGTAGCAGATGACAACTATTTTTGCATAGTGCTAAGATAGTTATCGCTATGGAATCCTGGCCATTCACGGGGCCGAGCGAAGGTTAATGTGGAGTAATTTGCGATGTGACACAGGGCATAAAGGGCGGACGAAAACCAAACAGGAATGTGAGTGGAAGCGAGTGCGGGAACCGTACACGTATATCTTTTTGGAATGACGTGACGGCACAGATAACGTGTTTCGTTTGCTGCTCACCACAATGAGAGTGGAAATTATTTCTACATTCGGCGGCCCGGAGCGCCTGGATCGGGTCAAGGTGTGTGTGCGTATAAGGGGGTGGAGCTTTCACTTCTTGGGAACCATAAAAAGGTACAAACAGAGGTTAAGGAACAGCCGTTTTTTTGTATTATCATCTTTGACGTACCTAGAAAATCCCACCAAAAGGCTGGTTTACCTTCGTTCGCCCGTAGTGTCTACGCCTGCGCGTTTTTTCTTTTCTTTTTTCGCCGCTGCCACAGCATCAAACAACCCCCTTGTCTCCCACCCCCCCTCCCCCCATTCCCTTTGCAACCACTTCCATTTGATTTCTGTTGGCCATCGCTGGTGACATTACATACATCGTGACTGGCCGCCTGAAGAACCGCCGCGACGCCACTTCACCAGTCGCTCCGGCGGTCGGTGTACTGGTGTGTCGTCCAAACGCCACTGCGCACTTTCGAACCCTCACGGGCAGCAGAAGTGCAACAAAATACCCGTGTTCGCACTCGCACCCACCCACACCCGCATCCTTGTTTGGTTCGGCCAAAGTGTATTTTATGACCACATTACGTACCAAATCGGTTAGAAATTTTTTTTATATGAACAGAGAAAATTATTGTTTTAAATTTGTATGCTGATTCTAACATTTAAAATCGGCGTTGATAACCATAAGTATAAAGGTACCGCACTTTACTTCACAACAAAACAATCACGGGAAGAAGGTGTGAAAGGTTACGTCCCGCGAAAGATGTTATTAATCACTCTGTCGTTCTTTTCTGCAATACACACACCCTAAAGCGTCTCAGATGTATAATATTCAATGTACCCGAATAGGTTCTCAGCTTTACAAGATTCATGTTATATATAGTGTCTTTAATTTTGTTATGCTTTTTTGTGAAATCTACATTTACATTTTTTTTGTGTGGCGTATATTAATTTGGTATAACCTTTACAATGATAGCCTTTGAGCGATATAGATAGATCAATATAAAATATTTGGCACTCATGTTCCCTTGAGAGTATTAGGATATAGACTAACAAACTTTGATATACATTTTTTTAGCTTATCTGCGTTGCTTTCACGAATATCTTTATAAAGGCTCGATTCTGCATTATTCAATTTCAATATCTACATTAACATTTAGCGTTTCTTTTTTCTCGTCTCTTTAGGTAGCTGGTGTGTAGAATTTTCGATAGTTTCTATTAAGTTTACTTAAAGCAGTCCTACACAAAGACTACAAAACATTTTTGAATCTTACTGACACCGTTAGTGTACTTTGAACAGGCACACGCTTAGATTACTTTTATAAATGTCCGATCCGTAACTTACCTGCCCGAAGGCCCTCCGCCACCATGGCACAGATAAGCACTGAAGCTAGAAATGGAGCCATATCTCCTGACGCCTCACGTTAACCCGAAACTTCTTTTTAAAGACGACGACTGGCCGTTGCGTAGCAAACGTTAGCGTAGTGACGCCAGCTTCTAATTGTTGATAAAGTGGCTCTCGTGAAGGTGTTACTTGTTATTCGGCACGATATGGATGTGTGCAGTGACATTTCCGAAAGTTCAAGAGCGACCTATTACCTCAGAAGTCAAGTTGAAATTTCGTGATAATTATTGGCTGACCTTTTTGCGTGACGGAATGTTTTCACTTTTTTTGCGTCATTCCTTATTCTTACGTTGGTAGCCTTAATACTGTAGCCACTCTATTGAGGTGCTCCGTATGAAAGGTCGGGGTGACTGAAAGAGTCAAACGGATAGGAGTTCAAACAACTTAAACGATTGTCAAAAAATATATATTTTAATTTGTGTTTTTTATAGATCATTCTGGGGCACATGTTTAACATTTTCTGGTTTCCTTGTGTATGAAACATACACGGAATAACGCCATTTCTTTGACGCTTGCTGAGAATTTTGGTTTCAGGCTGAGGCACCACTACGGGGAAATAGACTAAATAATTTAAACTTTAGGATAGCTTCACTTCAACCTTCTTAGTGCTTAAATACATTAATGTCAGTTATTTATTTATTTATTTATTTATTTATTACATGTACCCTCAGGGCCTTTGGCATTGAAGAGGGGAGTGGTTACAAAAATGGTGTTGAAGTAAAAGAAAGCAGTTACTAGAAATAAAAAAAAAATGGCGTCTATTCATACAATATTAGTTAAGGCGTTCTTAAACAGGTGGAGGTCTTCGATTGAAGCTGTTGGTACGGGAAGGCGATTCCACTCTTCTGATGTGCGTGGGAGAAATGACTGAAAAAAAGCATTCCTCCTGCACGATGGGACACCGACCTTCTGGACGTGATCTAATCGAGATGAAACGTATTGGGGAGGTAATATAAGTTCGGCGCGGAGATGGGGGTGATAAAATAACTTGTGAAAGAGGCAAAGACGGAAGTTTTTACGACGAGATGACAAAGACGGTAAGTCAAGGCTGAATTTCATTGTGGTTATGCTCGCAGTTCTGTTATAGTTGGACAAGATAAAGCGAACAGAGTTATTCTGGACCATTTCGAGTGAGTGAATTAGATTTTCATGACAAGGGTCCCAGGCTGAAACGGCATATTCGAGTTTTGGACGAATTAGTGTTTTGTAAAGTAAAAGTTTTAGAGACGAGGGAACTTTTGCAAAATTACGTCGAAGATATCCCAACATACGGTTAGCGTTATTAATTATATATGTTATATGAACTGTCCAAGTGAGATTTGATCTGATGTGAATACCAAGATATTTATAACTAGTCACAGCATCTAGGGGCGAGTTATGAAGATGGTAAACAGGTAGATTATGATTTTTCCTGGACACCCGCATAAATTTACATTTGTTAATGTTCAATTGCATGCACCACGTTTTGCACCAAACAGAAATAGCGTTAAGATCGGACTGGAGCGTGTTAATGTCATTTTCACAAGTTATTTCCCTAACAACAACACAATCATCGGCAAACAAATGAATATGGGAAGAGATACAAGAGGGTAGATCATTAATGTATATAAGAAAAAGAAGAGGTCCGAGCACAGAGCCTTGTGGCACACCGGAGTGAACGCCACTCGGCTGAGAGAGGTGATTATTAGCTACAATGAACTGCGAGCGGTTAACCAGAAAACATTCAAGCCAGATAAGAAGTTTTAGGTCAAGGTTAAGTTGGTGCAATTTATAGAGTAATAGCTTATGGCTTACCTTATCAAAAGCTTTTGAAAAGTCTAAAAAGATGCAATCGGCTAATGAGGAATGGTCAAGAATAACATTTAGTTTATGAAGGACTGATACCAATTGTGTTTCACATGAGTAGTTTTTTCGAAAGCAATGTTGTGACGACGTGAAAAACGAATTATATTCAAGGAAGTTGGCGAGGTTCGAAGATAGTATATGTTCGAAAATTTCACACGGGATGCTGGTTAGTGATATTGGTCGGTAATTAAGTGGAGAATGCTTGTTACCTGATTTATGAAGTGGAATCACCTTCCCGACCGTCCACTCAGCTGGAAGACAACCATTATCGATGGTCTGTTGAAAAAGTTTTGACAGGATAACTGAACAATAAACGCTCGTACATTTTAAAAATTTGGGGCTGATGAGGTCACAACCAGGAGCGGAGGAAAGTTTAAGTGATCTAATTATGCTTTCGACACCTAAAGGATCTATGATTATCGGGAACATAGCAGGGTAGTCGTAAAAATAGGTAGTTGGTAGTGAGATGTCGGAAGTTACAGAAAAATTACGCGTAAAAATTTCATTGAAGATAAGCGGACATTGGTGAGGGGGAATGAGATTCCCTGAACTGTCAACTAATGAAATATCATCATCATCAGCGGGATTTGTCACTTGCCAAAATTTTTTAATGTCGGTTACAAGCATGGATGGTAAGGTAGTATTATGGTATTTTTCTCTGGCTGTTTTAATGGCCGCCACGTATTCATCAGAAGCCAGTTTGTAAGCGGCCCAACGAGCATCGTCTGATGATGAATTGGCCGATGTGTACAATCGTTTTTTTTTTTTGTTAGATAGACGTCTGATGTGGAGGTTATACCAGGGAGCATTACTGTTAGATATGATAGTGCGGGTAGGAATGTACTTATTAGTTAAGTCGTTGATCTTGGCCACGAAGATATCCCAGTTGGATTGCACGCTGCGAATTTCAAAGTCCTTTAAAAATGTTTCGAGGAAGACAGATAGATCACTATTAATAGCCTCAAAATTTGCCTTTTGATAATTACGAATAGTTTTCATTTTTCTTTTAGTCTTAACGCGCTGCAGGTTGACGTGAAATGACAAAAGGGTACGATCACTCAAGCCAGGTAAGTAAGTAATTTCTGAGATGAGATCAGGGCAAGATGTTAGTACAAGGTCTAGTGTATTCGCGACTGATTCGGTTATTCTTGTGGTTGCTTGACAAGTTGCGTGAATGAAAACAGAGAACATAGATTTAGAAATTCATCTGCTAGAGTGGAAAAAGGTTGCATGCAAGGCGATTCGCTGTCCCATGAAATATTAGGAATATTAAAATCGCCCAGTAAAAATAAAGGTAATGTAGGATGACGAGACACAACTAGGTTAATTACATCATGTAGCTCGTTTACAAAGGTGGAAGAATAATTAGGGGAACGATAGCAAGCGCCAACAATAACTTTTTGCCGATTCATTTCAATAATAGCCCATACCATTTCCAAGTTGCTGGCGATATGAATACACTGGGAAGGCAATTCCATGGAAATGGCCAAAAGAACGCCGCCGCCTCGAAGCGTTGTGCGGTCGCAGCGATAGACAGAAAACAATGTGCTGACTCGAAGATATCGTGATCGCGAAAATGAGGATGCAACCAGGTTTCAGTTAATGCTATGATATGAGCATTGCAGGTATCTATAGCTGAGGTTAGTGAATCGCGCTTATTAGTTATGCTACGAATGTTACAGAAAAGAACCGATACATCAGATACGTTAAGACCACTGCCCCTCGGGTTTCCCTATCTCTCCTCGTGTGCTGAGGTGCTCGGCTGTGGGTTATCAGGAGCGCGTTGGGGCGCAAGTTCGACTACGCTCTCGGTTGCCATGTCATACACGTATTGCTTTTTGTTTATCACGAGCTTATTGTGGCGCAGTTGGAATGTTGGTGACTGAGGTAGGTTTTTAGCAACCTCGATAAGCTTTCTTCGAGCAATACGCGTGGCGGGCGAGAAATCTTCGCTAACAGTAACGTTTATTTCCCTCAGCTTAGCGCGTGCCGAAAGGATCTTATCTTTTATTTCGTAGCCAGAAAGCTTAACTATGATGGGGCGGCATTTGTTCGGCGTGAGTGGCCCCAGGCGATGAGCGCGTTCAATGGAATTTTCAGGCATGGTATCGAGTGCGTTTGTCAAAATTCTTTTCACGTGTGCCTCAGACTGCTCCCATGACTCGCGAGAGTCGGGAATGCCATAAAAGAGTAAGTTGTCACGCCGCGACCTGTCTTCCAGTTCGTCGAGGCGGGATTCCATTGATGTCATGCTGAGTGGTTAGCACTTTTACCGAGTCCTGAATTTCGACCAGGTTCGTGTTAAAATTGTCGAGTACCTTTGTTTTTTCTTCAAGGGCGTCAAGCCGTTTTTGAATGTGGCCAATTTTAGTTTCAATATTTTTTTGGCCAGTCTTTATTGATTTTACGTCAGCGACCAGCTCAACTTGACTCTGTGCCGATTGAACAGACCGTGTCTGAAGGTCTTTAAGAAGGTGAAAAAGGACAGCCATCTGTTCGGACGGCTCGTCAGGCAGAGTGTCAACCTCCATAAGTGTCCCAGAACGAGTATGAGGGCCCGGATTCACTTCGACGTCACCGCAGCGCAATAGCAACCGAAACATCGAAAAACAATCACAAGCAATTTCACAAAGCACTCCTGGGCACGGGAGCAAGAGCAAGTAGGGGTCGTTATTTTTTTTTTTTTGGCGTAAAGAGAAAATTGATTACACACCTGCAAAGCGCAGAAGCGCGGCATGAGAGCCATGTCGACGCCACTGCTCCCGTGCCCACTGGAGAAGCAGTCGCGCTGCCAGCCGTTTAAGAGTAGGGCGGGAATTGATGTCGCTGTCGATGACGCTGCGGGACCACGAACTGGTTGCAGCAGACGAGGGTGATCCGGGACAAAAGAGCTGACGACGTGCTGCTGGCCGACGCTCTCGTTAGATTGTAATCCGATGGGGTATCCGGCTGTATCGCTTGGCAAAGTTGAAGACAGGGGCAGGAAAAATGCCAGGAATGCCTGCAAAGCGCAGAAGCGCGGCATTAGAGCCATGTCGACGCCACTGCTCCCGTGCCCACTCAAGTTATCATAGGCTTTATCTGAAATCCCAAGAAATGATTTTCCTTCCTCCAGAAATATTAAAACACTTAGAAAAAGTGAAAAATGGTATCGCT